CTTGTTTCTTTTTCTGTTTTTGTGTTCGTATAGGGACGATGGAGGCAATGCGAGCACGGCTTGCAGGATGCTTGAACCTCAACCCGGTAGCGTTGATACCCCTCTCGTTACGCTAGACGTTTCTGGTGTGCCGCTGAACGCCCAACTCATTGAGCGTATTAAGAGCTCTTTTTCGATTAATAAGCTAATTATAGCCGAGTCCAGCGGTGTACTCGGTGCAGCGTTTTCTAGGGCGCGGGTGAGACAGCTGTGCGTGTCTGAGAATAAATTTTTACAAGGAGATTTTCTGCTCCACTTAAAGAATCGACTCGAGTCTTTGTCATTGACGAAATGCCGACAAATCGCGTACCAGCCGATCCTTCAATTTCTGTACGATAACTTAATATTTAGAGACATGAGTATGAAAGATTGCGATTTTCTCTCCAATGATCAAAATGATGTGTATGTGTTGATGCTCGAAGCTGTGTTTAATGAAAACTCTTATGTAGAGAGATTCGAGGTGTCGTTTAGCGAGCCAACGAGTCAAGACGTGCCTAACGGACGCTTTGTTAATTTGTCAAATAGCCTTACTTTGAGAGAAGTTAACTTTACCAACAACTTACACGTATCTCACTTTGTACCACAGATTGTCATGAGTTTGAATAATGTAAAAGTACTAAACCTATCAGGTGTTCCTTACTACGACTTTATTGATATGTCAGAGCTGTGGTGCATTGAATCTTTGCTTATTTGTTACAATGAATTTCTCATGTACTCTTTGGCATCGCTAAACACAGACACGTTGAAGCTGCTCGAAGTAAAAAATAAACTAGGTAAAAAGAAAACAAAAAAGTTGGACCTAGGGTGCATTGAGCAACTCATTGGCTTTGATAAGGAATTTAATTTTAAGTTTATTAAATGTAAAATTACCATACCAGCTTCGCTGGAGAGAAAAGTAAGAGACAGAAATTTAAAACTACAAAATGAAATTGACTGTGTAATTTTGTCTAATTAACAAGTTGTTCTCGTCTGTAATATAAGTAAACCTTTATAAAGGTGTAACTAATTTATGAGTGAAATGTAAACTGAATATATTGTTTGTAATAATTACATTCACCATGTCACATTAAGTGCATTCAAAATAAAAGGTGTGATTTACAGTGTGTGCTGATATGATATTTGGATGTTCAATCCGTATGGAATGAGTGAAAATATTTGTGTAAAACTGTACAACTATAAATAGTGTTAAGTGCATTCAAGCAGAACCAAAGTTAAGTTTAACTCTAAAAATGTACTATAAGATAGAAGTTTAACTTCGTTTGAAAACATGTAAATTGATGTTTGTTTATTTATAACTGCGTGAAGCATATATATATATATATATATATTTTGTATTGTTGAAGAAATTTATCTACTTTCTGTAATAGATTCAAGTTTTTTTTGTTGGCTTCAAGCAGTTATGTTGCATAGTATGTACGTGCATTCGGAAACATTGCTTTAAGTGCGTTCGCACAATGTTTGTTTATAATCATGTTTCCTCGCTACCCTCGCAAACACTGGGGGGAGCTATGTGGCGATACGCACTGTAACAGACGCGTCAAGAGACGCTAGACGCACGTACCATTGTAAGCGCCGACGGCGCCTTCGCGCAGCGACTATATCGTGTAAGCGCGGTCAGATACTCTCGAGTGAGCACACACAACGGACGCTCTACCAGCGCTCCGAACACCTTCCAAATAAACGCCTGTACCCACACCAACAACCGTCTTCTCTCTCTCTACCTTGCCCTGCCTCATCCGACTACCTCGTCTCCTAGGCTGCGAGGCAGCCGGCATATACCAATAAGCCTACAAAACGATAAAAGCCCGAGTACTTTTCTTCATATTTCCGCGCGTGCATACGCCGCTGATATATATAAGGATATAAGGAAGTGGTAGCGGTGGCTCTGAAGCATCTCGAGCAAAAGTTTCGAGTCTTTGTGTGTGTGTGTGCGTGCGTGTGCGTTTGTATCACGTATCCATGGTGAACGAGAGGAAAAAAAGGGTCAAAGCGAGTGGCGCACACACAGTCTCATTTGTACGTACATATACCATCTTTACTCGCGAAGCACGTATGAGACAGCTCGTTGATAATCTCTCTTTCTCGCGATCGATGAATTATTTTCTCAGTTGTGGGATTCGAAGGACACAAAATGACACGGTTGTTTCAGCTTTTGGACATATATTTTTTGTAAAACTCAATTGCGAAATGAAGTAATAAAGATATTATGGCCTTCACAAAGCGCTCTTTGTCTCTTAACATCTGCTCATTATTTGACGCTGCAAAGATTGTATCGATTCCGTCAACTCGGCCCGTAACGCTGCCCAGTCCGTCTCCTCGTCGCTTATGATTACTGGCTGCTGCTGCTCGGTTGCTCTCGCTGCAGTTTGTCCCCGCGTTGCGAGTAGCTCTCGACCTCGGTGTTGAATCGTCGTCACTGCGAAAGAGAAAATATAATTCACGATTCAATATTTTTATTTGTAATTATTGTACAACCAACATACATACAATAAAAATTCAAAATTAATTAATTTTTTTGCATAAAAAATTGTCAAGCACGAATACATAATCATTATAACACGAGATAATCACTTTTTCAAACGCATGATGTCGAGTACGAAGGGCGAGGCGTGCTGCTTCATCGGCTCGGAATCCACGAGCTCGGCCATGTGTGTCTTGGCGTACAACACGCCGTCCATCCTGAGTTGCGGTGCCTTGTGTTTCTCCGCGTAGTTCAGCACCATGAGGCAATTCTCGACGCTCAGCAACGAGCCGAGCTTCTCCTCGCAGACCTGCTTCAACGGCTCGATCTGATACTTGTCGGCGGCTGCCAGAAGTTCGCAGTAAGCCTCGCACTCCAGTGGAGGTGTCTGCTGGACCGAACCCGTGTAGATGTAGCGCAGCATCTCCACGACGATCTCGCGACGTATATCGACGATCTTGACGACGTTGTCGTGCGTCTCGAGCATCTCCGCGCTGAACATGGCTCGGAATACGGGCGACGCGCCGGCCAAGACGAGTTTGTGCGTCGGCACGGGCTGCTGCTGCGGCTGCATGGGGAATCGCAGGATCACGTCGCTACTACGCTCGTCCAGAAATATCCAGTCGTATCTGGCCAGCGGCTCGATTTCTGTCGCATGATCAGATTCTTCTCCAGTCGCTTGGCCAACACAACGTCGCAGCGGATCGTCATTATGTTGTTGCCGGCTGCTACGGCCCGCTCGATCTTCTCGATCCTCGTGAATTCGGTGAAGCCCCATTCCTCGTCACCCTCGTCGCCCTCGTCGCTCGAGTCCTTCGAAGCGAACACCTTGACGAATTCCTTGGAGGCGATCGCAGTGTTCCCGACGGCGATGGCGAGTTTGCACTCGCAGGTGAGCTCGTCGCGGGCCGGCGACATGCGCACCAGATGCAGCGACGCCCAGTTCGGGCTGGTCTCGTAGTCGAGCCGGAATCGCTTGTCCGGGCAGTCGTTGACGCAGAAGATGGGCGAGTTGAGCCTGACCTCGGGCCGCTTGGAGATGAGGCCGTAGTCGGCGATGGTCCAGGTGAAGCTGCACTCGTCCTTGACGAAGCGAGTGAAACCCGCGATACGATTGCACGTTGACATTTCGGCACTTGCTTCGTGATACACACTTCGCGAAGGAAAAATTGAACGTCACAATAAAGAAAGGTACACGTATCACTTCACTGCTGAAACTGACTTGCTGCTGTTTTGACCGTTACTGCGTTTGCACTGCGATCATGCGTCAGTGTAATACAATCACACCGCGCAAAAAGACTTGGATAACGCACGGAGAGGACGAATTATAGCGTGGCGCTGTGCACACGAGCGCAGGCACAGGTTTTCCCTGTACTGAGCGTGCATGGGATTTCGCTCTGATAACGCCAGTCAGCACGGAAAGAAATCGCACTAAGGTAAAGTTTAATTGGCCGTTTCTTGTAAACGAATTGTCCGATCTTTTTGAAATTTTTTTACAACATTCTTAAAAGGGTTGTGTATATTCATAAAAATTATTAACGTTGTTTAGACTGCCAACATAAATTATTGAAAATAAGGCAATTTAATGAATGTTTTCGTTTCATTCAATTGAGGATTTTATTAAATTAAAATTTTTTATATGATAACATTATTCAATATGGTTTTTAATAAGGCGTGTGTAAATTTTTGGCCCAATTTGTTTATTTAAACAAAAGTAATTGAAAAAACCAAAGCGTCAATATGCGTTGTGTTCAAACACGTTATCTTGGGTGCGCTATCGAAACTTCGAGCGTCCTTTGTTTTTTTGTTCTAACTTTTGTTTGAATAAAAGAATCGGGCTAAAAATTTACACACGCCTTCCTTAGACCATATTGAATAAAGTTATGTTATAAAAATCTTCATTTTCGAAAATTCATAACAGACTTTCCTGCATTGAATGAAACAAAAACATTCATTAAACTGCCTTGTTTTCAATAATTTATTTTGGTAGTTCAAGCAATGTTAATGCTTTTTATGAATATTCAATTAGTTTCACAGCCCTTTCAAGAATGATGTGAGAAATTATCAGAAAGATCGGACAATTTGTTTACGAGAAACGGCCAAATAAACATTACCTTTGCGCGATTTCTTTACGTGCTGACTGGCGTTGCAGAGAACGATCCCATGCACGCACAGGACAAACCCGTGCATTCGGCGCGTCCACCCAACACTAGCTATTGTTTTGACTGTTGCACTGCGATGTGTACAGTGTAAAATCACGCCGCGCAAAAAAATGTGAAGAGCGGCAGCCCGCAGCCTAAACAGTGAACGCCGGAGTCGATGTCCATAGATGGCGCCACCAAACAACCCAATTCGTAATTCCGAATGGCAGTTGATGCAAAGAGTCGAAAGTTCTCATCTATCCCAAACCGAGTCTCAAAGTAGAAGTAGCCAGCCACTTTAGTAATTAAAGTCCAGTTAAATTAAATCGGACTTTATTTTCAAAATGAAAAAATTTGCATTTTGAATAAAAAAACCTAACTCGCTTCTTATTGCACTTAGAAAGGTATTTTTTTTTTAAATCTGCGGAATGATGCCAGCTTTCCACTTTTGGAAGTTTTTATTCGTGTACGACATTTATTTAATCGTCCAGGCTCATTAGTTTATAAACTATTTAGAGGGAGTATTTTGCTTTCATTTTTATGCAATAAAATAACAAAACAGGCGCAAACTACGCGTTATCGAGCTTCAGTATATTTTCTCGCTATTTATTGTTACCTTACACCGTAAATTGGTTGGGTAATGAAATTGAAATAAAATTAAAACACGAAAAATTTAAAGTCAAGAAAAATAATGAGCCTTATATATTTTTAATTTATTTATCTCAATTTACAACATTTAATGGTACAAACGTAACAAAATACTAAAATTAATTTAACACGATTGCGAGCTTGGACTCGCAGCCGCTAAGCAAATATTACATAAATCTTGATTCATCAGCTGCTCGACGATCATTTCACAGCAGAGAATCGGCAGCCGATATCGTATCAGCTCCCAGAAAGGATACAGTGCCCAGCGTTGAAAAAATCCTCTCGATAGTTTTTCGCACAGATGTACAAAACAAGCCTCGTTCAACCTCGAAAGGATCTTGAACGATTTTCCTGAGCGAAGCAACTCGTAACAGTCCTTATACGTGAGTTGTTTCGCCGCTTCTTTGGGTCGTAATCGAATCAGGTCGTAGAGTGACAGATTTGGACTGACTATTATCTTTTTTAATTCTGCCATGGACTTCTTCACCTTCGCCTCCTTCTTGTCCTCGTCCTCGTAGCTATTATCACCATTACAACGTAAAATGTGTTTAACCAGAAATGTCATGATCGCGAGGGCATCGCTTCGTTTCAGTTCGTATCCTCTATTCTCCAGAAGTTCGACGGTAGATAGAGCAGCTAATGTCCTATATAAATACTCATCATACCGTCCGGGGCCATAATCGTCTACATATAAAAAGAACTTTTCGAAGTCACTCGTAGAAGGGAAAACGAAGCTAGACAGATCAGCGCCACGATCCAAGTGTACATCGATCACGTCCGGCGAGAGACTCGCGACGGCCCATTGCAGAGGTGTCTGACCAAACTTGTCCTTTGCATCGATCTTTACAAACTGATTTAATTCGTCGTTGATCTTGAAGAATAACTTGATCATCGCTAAGTTATTTTTCTCGCTTAAAACGTGCAGAGGAGTCACGCTGTTCTCGTTGGCCAAATTCGGATTGGCGCCATTTTTCAGCAATATAGTGGCCAACTGCTTGTCGCCGCGATATGCAGCCATGTGCAATGGTGTGTTGCCATCCTCGTCCCGGGCGTCGATCTGCAATACCTGACATCTTTCATCGTTAATCCTGAAGAACACTTCTGCAACGTCATACTCGTCTATAAGATGAAGGGGAGTACTTCCTTCCTTGTTGGCCCAATTCGGATCCGCGCCGTATCTCAGCAACAATTCGATCACCGAAATCGAATCGAAACAAGACTCCAGGGCCACATGCAGTGGCGAGTCACCTGTTTTTTGCACGATGCAGTTGGGATCCTGGCCGAGTTCTAGGAAAGTCTTGACGTAATCATGATGACCGAAGTAGCAGGCCACGTGGAAATGCGTCAATCCATCTTTGTCGGTGTAATTCACGTCGAACTTGTATATTTGGAATAGCCGATCATCGATATTGGCGACAAGTTCGCGTTCAACCAGATGATGAACTGCAGTCGTACGAAGCAGCAATGGCTTGCCATCTTCGTCTACGTCGGGCTCGTCCTTGTAGCCGGTGTTGATTAAAAAGTCGATGAATGAAGCATCGAACACCAAGAGTTCACTGTCTATCATTTCATCCGTAATAAGCAAATCGATTTCTTTGAGTCGAAAAATGTCTCGAAGATTTGGCAGTTGACCCTGCCAATTGCGGATCAAGCGATACAGTTTACGACGACGAAATTCTATTCTATCTTCTTGGTTTTCCCAATTGACCTTTTCTCGTAAGGACTTGAGTTGTTCCAAGCTTGAGCCTTCCGTAAGATGATTCGCACTTTCAGAATCGGAATAATTCTGGCATTCTCCTTCTTCGCTATAGTAACTCACGTTGGATTCGTCGTCGGACGCCATGATTCAAGATATTTTTCACTTTTCTTACGAGAATCACTAGATACGGTCAATTCGATCTTCCTGTATTTAGCTGTTTACGTTGCGGCGTCGTAACGTGTACTGAATACACTGAGATCTATCTATATATACTGGGTCAAATGTGTGCGAAGCTATAAGAAACAGGAGTACCGTTAGGTGAGCAACGAATTGCTATTTGGCCCGAGCCGGTGCTAGCGATCGTAGCTGTACTCGCAGGCACAGATTGAGACTTGAGAGAGGGGAGTGTTTTTAAATTATTTTCTTCGTTCCGGGATTCAAGGGACACAAAATGACACGATTGATTCAGCTGTCGAACACACATTTATTGTAAAACGCAATTTCGAAATGAAGTAATAAAGATATTGCGCGTAACGAACTTGGAATTGCCCTCACGAAGTCATCTTTGTCTCTAAACGTCAACGTGCAGCGCGTCTGCTCATTATTTGACGCTCCAAAGATTGTATGGATTTCGTCAACTCGGCCCGTAACGCTGTCCAGTCCATCTCCTCGTCACTTATGATTACGGGCTGCTGCTGCTGCTGCTCGGTTGCTCTCGCTGCAGTGTTGACTGTCCGCGTCTTGCGAGTTGTAGTCCTCGAACTCGATGCCGAATCGCAGTCGCTAGAAAATATACACAGAGATGAAAAAAAAAAAAAAATAATAATCATTAAAACGCATCGTTGCTTGAAAATTCTTTACTTTGATTTGTAATTACATAATTATATTGTACAACACAATAAAAAAGAGAGACAGTTAAACGTTATTTCAACAAAATAAATCTATATTTCAACCAAGATACACACAATGAAACTCAAATTAATTTTTTTTTTGTTATAAAAAATTGTCAAGCATAAAGATACATCAACATTATAATCGCTAAGATAATCACTTTCTCAACAATAAGCGTATGATATCGAGTACGAAGGGCGAGGCGTGCTGCTTCATCGGCTCGGAATCCACGAGCTCGGCCATGTGCGTCTTGGCGTAATATACGCCGTCCGTCCTCAGCTCCGGTGCCCCGTGTTTCTCCGCGTAGTTCAGCACCATGAGGCAATTCTCGACGCTCAGCAACGAGCCGAGCTTCTCCTCGCAGAGCTGCTTCAACGGCTCGATCTGATACTTGTCCGAGGCCGCCAGAAGTTCGCAGTAAGCCCCGCACTCCAGTGGCGGCTTCTGCTGGACCGAGCCCGTGTAGACGTAGCGCAGCATCTCCACGACGATCTCGCGACGTATGTCGACGATCTCGACGACGTTGTCGTGCATCTCGAGCATCTCCGCGCTGAACATGGCTCGGAATACGGGCGACGCGCCGGCCAAGACGAGTTTGTGCGCCGGCACGGGCTGCTGCTGCGGTTGCATCGGGAATTGCAGGATCACGTCGCTGTTACGCGCTTCCAGAAATATCCAGTCGAATCGGGCCAGCGGCTCGATTTTCTGTCGCTTTCTTCCATTGGCGGCGTACGTCGCAGCCGACGACGGATTTCTGCTGCCACCCGACTGCACGATCAGATTCTTTTCCAGCCGCTTGGCCACCACCACGTCGCAGCGAATCGTCGCCATGTTGTTGCCAGCGGCCGCAATGGCCCGCTCGATCCTCTCGATCCTCGTGAACTTGGTGAAGCCCCAGACGTCCCTCGCGGTGTCGTCGCCCGAGTCCTTCGAGGCGAACACCTCGACGAACTCCTTTGAGGCGATGGTCGTGTCGCCGACGACGACGGCGAGCTTGCACTCGCAGGTGAGCTCGTCGCGGGCCGGCGACATGCGCACCAGATGCAGCGAGGCCCAGTTCGGGCTGGTCTCGCGCCCGCCCGGATAGTAGTCGAGCCGGAATCGCTTGTCCGGACAGTCGTTGACGCAGAAGATGGGCGAGTTGAGCCTAACCTCGGGACGCTTGGAGATGAGGCCGTAGTCGGCGATGGTCCAGGTGAAGCTGCATTCGTCCTTGACGATGCGAGTGATGCCCGAGACGCGATTGTACGTCGACATGTCGGCACTTGTATGAATGCGAGTTTACACACGTACACTTATTATAAACAAGATTCAAAGTCAAATTCAAGTATTATAAACAAGATTCAGGTAAACAAAGATTCACGTTGCGTGTTCATCACTGCTGAAAACTGACTCGCTACTGTTTTGACCGTTACTGCGGTTGCACTGCGATCATGCGTCAGTGTAATAAAGTCACGGCGCGCGAAAAAAATACGACGAGCGCGGCCTGTGACGAGTGGCGCCGCCCAACGACGCAATTCGTAAAAACCGAACGGCAGTTGATGCAGAGAGTCGTGTTCCGCATTTTATGTGCAGTGCAGTTTACGCAATTTCGAGTGCAAGATGTCGAATTCGATCGTATCATTGCTTTTAGTGTTGCTGAAAATTCCGGTAGCTGCTGTGCGTTGAAAAATGCGCTGTAGCGTATAGAAAAAACAAAAAAGTGTCGCGCGTGCCTAGTTACTACGAGACGTCACGAGTTCAAGATTCAACTGCCGCGTAGTAGAACGCGGGGTGAGTTTTTATTTTGATACGGTAGATCGAAAAGTGATTACGTCCTTTATAAATATCGCGCATTCGCCACTCGGCTACGTAAATTCCATTGTAAAAATTCGTTGGCGCGAATTCCAATCGGCCCCGGTCGAAGAATTGCCCCGAAATTAAATGAAGAAGACGATACAAATAGAAATGAGACTCTCCCCTTGAATACACGTATCTATACCACTCGAATTGCTTTTGAAACGAGCGAATCGACGAAGAGAAAGAGTGATTGTTCGCGCGCACTTTGAAAATTAATATTCCCGCCTATTTTCCCCCCGAATGCAATATGCACGCGTGCGTCGCATACTGGTTTTTCGTCGCCGAAAGAAATTGAACGAAACAAAAGTTACTTTGACGCGTATCTGCGTTACGTGTATAGGAAGGAAAGAGAAGCATCGGAGCACACATCGGTTTATGTAGCGCGCGTACTTGTACACGTTGCGGCTGTATCTGTATATATATGTGTGTGTCCCGAGACCGAATGTGATACAGCACATGTGCCGCTCGGAGAAAAAGAGAGAGACAGGGTAGAGCCCTTCTATGTGTCAGTAGTGCGCGCGGACCCGGAGAGAATGGCAAAAACGACTATACTATATATACCCACCGCCGCTGCCGCTATATAGATATATAACACACATGCACACGCGCATTTACACACTCGCACACGGCCGAATAATCAAGCTGTGCTCGCGCGTATATATAACTACATTGACTCTTTCGTGTCGCGCGCGCGCAATCCCACCTCCCCCTATATACATATACCTGCTCCTTCTCGCCCTCTGTCTCTCTCTCTCTGCTTCTTTTTCTACTCTTTTTTATTACCCTCTCTGTGTCTTTCGCGACTCTGTGAGTGCAACAGCGGCGGCAGCTTCTTTTTTTTTTTTTTTTACTGCCTCCGAACCTTTTTTCGCGAACGTAAATGTACTCCGTGTGGATTACGCTCGCTTGCTCGATGCCGCTTCTCTCTCTCTCTCTCTCTCTCTCTTCTCTCTATATACCGTAACGTCGTACCCTACGTAGTACTGTGTACGAAACGACGACTCTGATGGGCTTGAGCTATTTTTTATTTGCCTATTCCGCATATATAGCGTACACAGCGACAGTGGGAAATACTTTTGTTTTTCCTTTCTCGATGCGTACATGTACATTGGCTTACTCGAGCCCCGATACAAGCGGCAATTGGTCCGCTCGCAAAAAAATTATGCAATCTTTCCTTCTCTTTCCCTTATATATTGTATAAGCATGTCGAGTGCAAACGCAGTGGTGTTCGTCATTCCTAAAAGGGAGACAAAAAAATTTCAATCCTTTATGCACGTCTATGAATATTACATGCATTATTACATACCTCACTCGCAGGCGCTCAACGTGAATGCATTTCTGTACATTATACATGTACACGATCGCGATGACCCAAAAGCTCATTCCGCGAACGAACGAGAAAGACGAAGAAGAAGGAGACGATATACCGGTGAAGATGAAGAAGAAGAAGAAGAAGAAGAAGAGGAGGAGGAGGAGCGCCGAGTTAAGTAGCAGCGCGCCAACTTGAGCATGAAAGGGGATGTATAACCGCGCACACACGAACTCGGCGCACATGATATCCTATATAGATTCTCGCGGGGGGAAATAGACTTTATAGTCTAACTAGTCTCTCGAAAAGTCACTGTTGCGCGCGTCGTATAAGAGAGAGAATAAGCGAGTAATGGAAAAAGAGGTCGCCGTCGCGTACATACGTGTATATTATACGAGTACGAGTCGCGAAGCTGATCTCGTATCACTACACGAGGTTCTCTTCTCTCTCTTTTTTCTCGCTTACGCTGTGCCTTTTTTTTACCGCGTAGTATACCGCGAGAACGAAGAAGAGAGGAAAAAAAGTATCTACGGTCGATTTTTAAGATCGCGCTCGAAAACTACACGACGGTTTGATACACCTATATATAAGCTTTTCTTGGCGCGTACGGGATGACGTTGTAAATAACGATCTATATATCCGTGTGTGTACATACACAAGAGAAGCGAACGGCGAAGAGAAACGGTGATATATATCCCTTCGAGCTGCGCGCAAATTCATAGGACATAAAGACGCAATTTTCTTCCATAGCCTTCATCTTCTTCCTCCTTCTTTTTTTTTATCTGCACTCGCTGCATGCGAGTGATATAAAGTTCGCAATTATGGATCTACGACGAAAATAATAAAAGCTTCGAATATCACTGCGATAACTTTTAGCGTAGTCGTAGATGCAACAAAAAAAAGAGTCCTGGGACAAAATGCTAACGAAATATTTCGCGCGTGAATCACCCGCGCGCGCGCAATATTCGGCGGATGCCGCTGCGCGCAGCAGTTTTCAACGACCGCCACACACAGATTTCGGCAAAACAGATTCCGTTGGTATATAGATATCAGAACGATCGATATATCGAAAGGAAAGTTGTTAATTGCTACCCGTTTCTCTTCGTGATCTCGGAAAGAGAGTCGTACCTATAGTATACTGTGTCCATACGGCGTTACGTACGTGCGGCATAAGCAATTTTAATAATCGAAGGCTCCGCCGTTGGCAACATCTGTTTCGCAGATTTTTTAGCCTACGCACACGTGCTCTCTCTCGGACAGTATATACCGGACCATAGACAGATACAACTGTGTAGTACAGAGAGCGAGAAATAAAAAAGTGAAAAGTTGCGCCTTTGCGCACCTATACTTTGAACTATGTGCAGGATATAACGCGCACTCACGCAAACGCACGCACGCGGGGCAACAGAAAGCTCGGTTTACGATCGCGGGATATACATATATACGGACGTGCGCGCGCGAGCTTTTATCCTCCCTTCTTCTTCTTTTTTTTTCGTATCGTGCGCTATACCCGTGTGTTATACGAGAGAGCAGCGGGAACTGCTCGATATTGAAAATAAGCTTTTGTTGTTGGGCGAGCGAGAGAGAGGACTCTTGGACTATATATCGTCGAGATATATTTATTAGCGCGGGAATACGATGTTGACATTAGGCTAATTGTACGTTTAAGTAACTGTCAGTACTGATAGAAGCGCGATTATGCTCAGTCGTTATTTCACGATCAGATTGTAATATAAATTAGTACATTCTAAATAAAATAGTTATATTATTCATCAATTAGCGAATAGTTTCGAACACATTCTTTCATCGTTATCAGAGTATTTAAGGCAACGAAAAAAATGTTTCTAGATGTAGACAATCCGTGTTATTTATACGAAGATATCAATGCTGGCGTTCTTATCAGATTAAGCGATTACATAATTACCAATGACATTAAAGAAGAAAATTTAGAAGATGAAAGAGTTTTAAGTGATATGTTACGTGCTTCAGATAGAAGATATGTCGACATTGATCCCATTACAACTGAACTATTGAATGAATTTAAAGATAGGATAATTGCTTTTACAATTAAAAATTTGAGAGAAGAGCCTCTTTTTTGTAGAAATCATGCCATATTGAAGGTCGCTTGCGTTGAATATGTACTGTATCCTCATGAAGATAATGAAGAATATGAAAAAATATATCGTTGCGACGAACGAAGAGTGATCGAGGCATATAAGGATTTGTGTGGTTTTCGAAAAGAAAATATATCCGACGATAAAACCGTCGTGAGTGTTAAAAAATTTTTTCGAGGCGAACCATTTTTTTGGGAGAATCTTTCGGAACCATTTGTTGAGAATAATCTTTTGGAAACAATCAGATCATATTTGGAAGGTATTTCGATCGAGGAAGCTGAAATACTGTATATACAACGTAAATCAATTGAAATAATGTGAGTAAATATTTGGAAAATAATTAAAATAATTTTTTACTCCAATATTAAATTTCAATTTCAGTGAAGGTGAGCCACCGAACATAATGTAAAGTATGACTCCGATGATTAGAAGGTGTGCCAACCATCAGCAAATATAATCATGCCCATCGAAGATCATCCACCAATATTGCTCACAAAAGACTAGCAGCCACATTCACCTACTCCGTAGATGTCTCATCGGTTTCAAACTGATTTTACAAGTGCTTATTATTTTTTTAAATGGGTCATTGTACCTATATTACACAAATTTTTATATATTTTCCTTAAAATGTAATCGCCCTAAAAAAAAAACTATTATTTAACTATTTATTCGAACTCATTGGCTAAACTAAAGATGATTCAGGAATCATCCACAAAATCGTTCACATTGTAACTTGAATTTTTCAACAGACATTGCGTCACAGTTTTGCGCGTTGAATGACACACGCAAGCTGTGTCCAAATTTTTCTTACTTGACAATACAGCTCCTTGAAAAATGTAGATCAAGTGTAGTAATTAACCTTTTTATAAATGATATTTAAATTTCTAAAAATTATGAAAATATAGGATACCCAAATATTCAAATTTTTGTTTGATTTATTGATATATTCCTTAAGCATAATAATTTATATTTTACACGTTTTGCGAATAGTGAAAATGTTTATCAAATTTTAATGTAACTAATAATTAATTGGTTCACTTAACACATTCCATAAATTACGAATATAAAAAATAAGCACATTTTTGATTTTGAATATTTAAAAATTCTGAGTTGGGAATTCTTCGCACGCGCGCGACTCGTTGCCGATCTTCTCGCGAGGAGAGCTCAGCAGCAGTAGTGAGGTATGTATACTATGCTGCGTCTGCGTACGCGCTCCGGGACAGGATCAAATTATAATTAATCCGGAAACTCATATCTCGAGCACTGTAGGGGGGAAGGAGTACCGCCACATATAGTAAGAGCATCGACTCGCGCGCAGAGAGATATAGTATAATGATAATTGGATAATTGGATGTGTGTGCGTCGTACCCGATATGTATGTATATAGAACCGATCGACTTTGAGCCATGTCTCGGAGTCAACTATGCTGCTGCAAGCTCGCCTCCGCCCGGAGAGACTCGTGACTATATATATGTATCGTACAGGTGAAGATAATAGTCCGAGTCGCGTAGCGATCGTTCGCTCGATATTATTTTCCACGAGAGCAGCAGCAGCAGCAGCAGTATATTGACAAAACGTTTTGGCGCGTCGGACACGCGTCGACCAAACAGGTTCGCGCAAAAGTTTGCACAAGTTCCGTTCTCTCTCTCTCTCTCTCTCTCGAGTCCAGGGTAAACATCGCGCGCGCAAACACAATATTAGCCGCAACAATAAGCGCACGCGAAACGTACGAGCAGTAGCAGCAGCAACAGCTGGTCTAGCTTACACAACTATATATCCCGGAGAGTCTGCAAGCTCGGAAGCAAAGCGCGCGGATATATAGAGAGAAGAGGAGCCACTACCGTGAAAGAACGACTTGGCTCGTGCTGCGCTACTGTCTACCACTGTGTACGGCTGTATATACGTTTTGACCCGCTGCCGCTGCCGAGCGAGTATATCTACCGCGGATATATAGAGTTATAAGAGCGGAGAAAGCTATATAGACCCGTTAAGAAAAGCTCACGCTCGACGCGTATAATATACACACACACACACACACACGAGCGTACGTGCAGAGCGAGCGAGCTAGCTGTCGACGTGCGAGCTCGCGTTATTTCACGTCAAATTATCTCTGGCACAGGCGCTCGCAAGCTCTCTCTCTCTTTGCCGAAACTTGCTCTCACTCGCTCTCTTGCACGCGATGAACTTTGGAATCGCGAGGCATTAAAGCTTTGTTCCCGCACGCGCGCCGTTATATATGTACAACAATGCCCCGGACTCCCTCTTCTCTCTCTCTTTCCTTCTGTTTTCGCGCACGAGTGCTATATGAGAGAGAGAGAGAGTATAAGAGCAGTTACGAGACTATATCAGTCGTACGCGCGTGGAGCTTTTCACTATACTAGTCGCGTGCTCGCAAGCTCTCTCCCTCGCGCAACTTATACCTTATGTATGTGTATGTGTGCTACTGTTCGATTTCTCATCTTCGAAATACACACATAGACGGAGCATTTAATTCTGTACCTTGACTCACACACGCGCACGCATAAGCGAGACAACGTCGGCGTTATACTGCCATTTATATATTATTACTATATATAGTACTCGCGCGCCCATATAATAGCTATAAACTTCGAACTCGGCTTCCCTATACGTATATATATGCCTCGATTATATATCCTTTACGGTAATTCACGCGCGCGCCTGCGAGTAAGCGAGAGAAAGAGAGAGATAGATAGAGGGATAGATAGATAGGAGCTGTGAAATTGAGCTAATAAGACTATATAATATCGGCCCCGCCCCCCAAAGTATTATAACATAAAGGGTATCATCTCGGCTCTCTTATATCTATCGAAGTGTCGAGCGCAAAAATGCCACAAACGCGCGGGCGCGCGAATAATTGACTTTTCAATTTCCATTCTCTCTCTCTCTCTCTTTCCCTTACGATCTCCCGCATCTCGCGAACTAGTAGCAGTATTACTGGTACTAGTAGCGCTTCGGTGCTGCACTGCTCCTATATATACCCACATAAAGCAAGAGAAGCGTTATATATACACCCAAAGCCTTTATAGAAGAGAATCAAATCGAATTACGATACCTTTCTGACTCACCCCCCAACCCCCTATATACTTCTGCCACATTACTCCTTAGACTAGCTAGCTACTACTACTACCACTTCTTTCACCTTCCGCGCGGCGCGCGAGCCGATTTTGCAGCAGAGAGCAGCTATATTAAACTCTCTCTCTTTCTCTCACCACCAGCTCTGCCGCACCTTACTACTACCCCCTTCTTCTCTCTCTATATATAGATGGTTCAACCATCATCGAACTTCCGCCTCGTAATAGTCGCTCACGTGCAAAGTTGACGATAAGAGGGCTGCTGACTGCCGACGCCACCGCTTATACTCGGGCGGGGGTGTTCGTTTCGCGCGGATCGGGGAAGAACGAGCGGAAGAGAGAGAGTGAAAAAAACTGATAGGCTCTATTATAAGTCTCGGCGCCTTTGCCGCGTGCGAAGAAATAAAGGAGAGGTCGCTTTCTCGGAATAATAACGTGTACGATGTTATGTATCCACCCCCCGCATGCAGTCGCAGTTGCCGCGCGTGCATCGGCACCACCAGCAAAGAACATTATTATTTATTCTTTTTATGTATTTACGCTGAAAAGGCATCGCGCTGCTCTTTATACACACCTGATTGAAGAAAAACTCAATTGTCAGATCGAATATCGATACATGTCGTATCGCAAAGCCATAGCAAATGTATAAGAACAATGCCATTAATATCAGAAAATCATTATCAGTCTTAGCCTCGCTCTGTTCGTGTCGCAGGAGACAAAATAATAAAAAATAATATGTTTTTGCGTTGCGCGCGAAATGAGAAACGAGTATCCCTTCGCGCGCAACGACTACTGTCGTATACATGTCAACCGATCGCGTGGCAGAAATACACACACGCGTGCAGGAGACGCGCGACGCAACATTTTTAAGCCGACGTATAAAAAACACGAGGCGAGCTATATGTGTATAGGTCGAAACGTAAAAATGAAAATAAAAAAAAAATAGAGTTTCTGTTTGCTTCAAAAGAAATATATACCGTGTAAAGCTGTCTTGTACATAAAAATATATACTTATACGCGGAGGAATATAACGAAAAAAAATAAAGGTCGCGTATACATTGGTAAAAGAGCCGTCGATATTTACAAATTGCGGAAAAAATACGTCGTCGACATTGAAAACAGGCGCGATGATATCGAAAAGACTATTTGTCACAGTTTCGATCTTACGATATGATAAATGATTGAAGTAGAAAAACCTGTTCAATGCTTAATACCTGCTTTATTAAGTGCATAAGCCCGATCGTTTCCATACTCGAACCAGTTATAAGCAATTAATCACTCGCGTGCGCCAAATCGATCGCTTAAATATTTTTCTTCTCTTTTCTTTTCAAAACGATCGCTGGTAAATGATCTGTTTGACATCTATCGGGGGGTAGGGGTATTTATTTCTTCCCGCGAGCTCTGCTCTTCCTTTTCTTCTTTTGTTTTATCCTCCATCAGACGATATCTGCACGACGGACGCACACGGCTGCGCGATCGAATTGGAAAATTTATTATTCAGAGGCGAAGTTTATGCTACCATATAGTAAGAGAGAGGGCCCACCTCCGAAAGAAGCAGTGCAGCTGAAAAAAAAGAGGAAGTAAAATGAAATATTGGAAAAGGCCATAGAGAGAGAGCTTAAAAAAGTCGAAAGCCAAGTATCGCCGCAGCCGACGATGATAATAATAATAATAATAATAATCATAATAATAATCATCATAATAAGAGTCGCGCAGCCGACGAATCACGGAGTATAGAGAGATTTACATCGCTCGGATTCAGCTGCGAAAGGGAGGAAATGAGTTAAAAGTACCGAGTAAGAGTGTATACACGAGCCGAGCCGAGCGAGGGCAAAAGTTGCGTTGGAATATAAATATATTCGCGAGCTTCGGCCCAAGCTCCTCATCCTCGCCGACACGAGAGGTTCCTCTCTCTCCGGATTATCGCCGGTCGTACATATCTGTTTGCTATATTGTCCCTGCGCAGCAGGCAGAGAGCTTGCGACTCTTCTCTCTTTTTTTTTCTTTATCATCATTCTCGATTCTCATCGGATCGACATTGGCATTCCACGCGCGGGCGAGCTTTCTCTTCTCTGCCTGTCCCTCCGTTATCTCTCGTATTTCGCTCGGCAAATGCTGCCATTAATTTTAATACCTCGGAGCGGAGATGCCTTGCGACAGATCCGCGGATCACCGAGCCATCCACCAGGTATAGATACGATGTTTTATGCAACGGCCCTTTCTCTCTCAGCTCTCTCACGCACAACGACCGCCCTTACAATATTTATTTCGCTCGATATTTTTTTCTTCCTCTTCCCCCTGCGCTTATAAATATTTTCTACTCTCCCGTTTGGAAAAATAATTACGGATATCGTGTAGCAGCGGCAGCTTCGGGCACGCTGGGGATCGAGAGAGAAAGAAGAAGAAGACGTGCTCTCCGGCTCGGGCGTGCATAAGCATGCTGAAAGAGGAGGAGGACGACACGGAGCTCAGTTGCGCAGGTTTGTGTGTTTATTTACTCTCGTCGTCGTCGTCGTTCGCGTATACAGTGTAAGGTAAGCGCATCGCACCGAGGGAATAGTAGCAGTGTACATATATACGCTATGACCTGGTGACGTGTTTCGGTCGACGCGATCGCCTCGCCGAATCAGGCGCATAGCAGCGATTCACTGCCACGTCGCATACAGCATACCAGCCAGAAAGGGATGTTTGATCATTAGTATTTCCAAGTGACGAGCTGGAGATACGGACACGCGGAAGCAGCGACGACGAATCGGACAAAGTTAGCCGTCGCGACCCCTCCCTTCGATGTAGATGTATGCGCATAAACGCATTGACTCCGACTG